CATGGTATTGGTTTCCAGTCAAAGTCATTCGTTTTTTTTTTCTTCTCCCCCTCTCTCTCTATCTCTCTCTCTCTCTCTCTCTCTCTCCCTCTTTGTGTTAAAAAAAAGCCCCAAGAAGCTCAGGGGTTTTATACATAAAATTATCGTCAGATGAGCATATTTTATACCTTCTTTGTCACACTGGCAGGTCACGAATTGGCGTGGGGTCCAGGGGGCGCAGCCCTTAGAAGCTCAGAGGTTTAAACAATTAATTTGTCGTCAGATGAGCATAATTTTATACCTTATTTGTGACACTAGCACTTAACTAATTGGCGTGAGGTCCAGGGGGCCGACACCCCAGAAGCTCAGGGGTTTTAAGCATTAAATTATCGTCAGATTAGCATCCAGCCGTCCGCCTTAGGGCCCTAGGGGGGGGGGTCCAGGGGGCAGAGCCACCGGAAGTCAAGGGGTTTTAGTCATTTAATTACGGTCAGATGAACATATTTTGATACCTTTGATATCTTTCCTCTTTTATTTCCTTTTTTTTTGTCCTTTTTTTTTCTTCTTTTTTTCCCTTTTTTTTCTTTCTTTCCCTCCCCCTGGATCCGCCACTGTTGACAGGTCAATGACCTCTGTTGGCTCCACTACAGTCTCAAGTATTAGTTCTAGGTGCTTAAAATTCTTTTAATATTGTTATGGTATTTTCTTGTTTTGTTTTGCTGTGTTAATCAGATATTGTATGTAAATTGCCATATGTTTTTATGAGAAGTGGAAATAAATTAAATGAAAAAATGAAGGAGAAAAAAAAAGATTAGGTGGTAATTATTTTACCTGAATGCTAAGAAAACATGGTTGTTAAAGCAACCAGACGACCGACGGCGTAATAAAGTCCACTCCGGTGGACCTGGTAATCCTTACCAAAGGGCACTAGCGCATCGCCTTGGTTTCGAACCCGGGTAGCCGGATTACGAGACCACTGCTTTACCAACTGATCGCGCCTCCTCCATGATTTGTTTTGTTCACTAATGTATTAAGCTCCAAAATTGAAGTTAAACAAACGAATAGAAATATCGAACGAATCATTTTCCTTCCCAAACCCCTCACTAACTTTTTGAAGAAAATAAAAGCACTACATACACTGCCAGTCACTTATTCAATATAGAGGGGATTAGAAATTAAAGTTACCATCTTTTGTACATGTTTTTTGCCAGGGGGAGGGGTGGCCAGGACCGACAGCCCCCCCCCCCCCCCCCCCCCGCTTGAAGAGGTGGATGAAATGCGAAAAAAATCAAGACTATTTAGTAGGGGATGGTGTGGGAAGGGTCGCATCATATTTTAACATGTGCACTTTCTCCCCCTCCCCCCCCCCCCTCCCTCCCCCCTCTCCCCTATCTCTCTCTCTCTCTCTCTCCCTCTCTTTCCCTCCTCTCCCCATTTATATTATTCTTGTCTGTCTGTTCTCTCTCTCTCTCTTTCTCTCTCTCTCTCTCTCTGTGTGTGTCTCTCTCTCTCTCTCTCTCTCTCTCTCCCTCTCCCTTTCTATTTCTTTCTTTATCTCTCTCTTATTATTAACAAATCCAGGGTCCATGAGTAAACCCATATCGTTTACACAATATAAACTAAGAAGAACAACCACAAAAAACACACCACAAACAATCAATTCCATAACATAAAGATTTTTTGATTTAGAGAAGAAAATTTGTTAGGCTGCGAGCAAGGTTACTTGTAGTCTAGTTCTGGACCATTTTAATGATTGATGGCGCGATCCTTAGTGACGGCGCGTGCCATCACCCGGCTTAACGCTTATAGTCGGTGAATTAAAAAAAATCATTAAAAGGGTCCAGAACTAGACTAGGTTACTTGTAAAATCGTCGGCTGATGATTTTATCTTAAATTTGAAAATAAGCTTGAGTTCTAGTTATGATATCAAATGAATTCTTACAGAATCCAAGAAAACTTATACTGAATGTTCAAGATTACAAATACATGACATACGCTAGACGATTTTATAGGGGCTGAGTAAAATCAAAGAAAGTAGGCCCGTGCTTGTGCAAATGAGAGTTTTTTTATTTTTTTTATTGAAGATTATTTCCAGCAAGTTTTGTGTATTAAGTTTGTTGTTATTTTATTGGTTCAAACAATCAGTCTATACGGCAGGAAAAATAATCCAGAATGAATTTTAGCCATGCTCTCTTGACATACGATATCTATACCAGAGCTTAAGATTGGCTGAAACATAGAGAGCTTCCTTCCTACAACATGTAATAATGACATAATATTTTATGGCTATAGTAATTTAAAAGAATATTTAGATAGTTCCTCTTTACACGTCAACATTGTCGTTCAGACCATGTCGTTCATTTCAATGATCTATTTTAAGTAATACCTAAATTTGGACATGCTTACACTTCAAATAGTTTTCCATTGTAATTTTACTCTAAAGAATCTTTCGGCAAACATGTTTTTGAGCTTCTAAGCACCCACTCACGCTCTACGTGTTTCAATCAGTGATCATAATTGTTGTTTTTAATGTAAAACCTGCCGGCGTGAACATCAAAATGATTTCCATTGAGGTACGTTTCCTTTCAGAATGATCCTTTCAAATGTGTTTTTCTTTGTTCTGTTACCCTTGTCACAAGCCCAGCCGTATGAAATATCTTATTCACCTACAGTCCTGTGGCATATACAAATAATTTGCCAGTCTGCATATCATGATATTGGTTTCCAGTCAAAGTCATTCGTTTTTTTTCTCCCCTACCTCTCTCTCTCTCTCTCTCTCTATATATATATATATATCTCTTTCTCTCTCTCTCTCTTTGTGTTAATAAAAAAAAGCCCCCGGAAGCTCAGGGGTTTTGGGCAAAAATAACGGTCAGATGGGCATATTTTTATACCTTATTTGTGACAATGGCAGGACACAAATTGGTGTTGGGTCCAGGGGGCGCAGCCCTTAGAAGCTCAGAGGTTTATACCTTAATTTGTCGTCAGATGAGCATAATTTTATACCTTATTTGTGACACTAGGAGTTAACTAATTGGCGTGAGGTCCAGGGGGCCGACACCCCAAAAGCTCAGGGGTTTTAAGCATTAAATTATCGTCAGATTAGCATCCAGCCGTCCGCCTTAGGGCCCTAGGGGGGGGGGGGTCCAGGGGGCAGAGCCACCGGAAGTCAAGGGGTTTTAGTCATTTAATTACGGTCAGATGAACATATTTTGATACCTTTGATATCTTTTCTCTTTTATTTCCTTTTTTTTCCCCCATTTTTTTTCTTCTTTTTTCCCCTTTTTTTCTTTCCCACCCCCTAGATCCGCCACTGTTGACAGGTCAATGACCTCTGTTGGCTCCACCACAGTCTCAAGTATTAGTTCTAGGTGCTTAAAATTCTTTTAATATTGTTATGGTATTTTCTTGTTTTGTTTTGCTGTGTTAATCAGATATTGTATGTAAATTGCCATATGTTTTTATGAGAAGTGGAAATAAATTAAATGAAAAAATGAAGGAGAAAAAAAAAATATTTAGTGGTGATTATTTTACCTGACTGCTAAGAAAGCATGGTTGTTAAAGCAACCAGACGACCGACGGCTTAATAAAGTCCTCTCCCAGGGACCTGGTAATCCTTACCAAATGGCACTAGCACATCGCCTTGATTCGAACCCGGGTCGCCGGATTACGAGACCACTGCTTTTCCAACTGATCACGCCTCCTCCATGATTTGTTCCCTAATTTGTTTTGTTCACTAATGTATTAAACTCCAAAATTGAAGTTAAACAAACGAATAGAAATATCGAACGAATCATTTTCCTTCCCAAACCCCTCACTAACTTTTTGATGAAAATAAAAGCACAATATACACTGCCAGTTACTTATTCAATAAGGGGGGGGGGGATGAATTACAAATTAAAGTTACCATCTTTTGTGCCTGTTTTTTGCCAGGGGAGGGGTGGCCGGGACCGATAGCCCCCCCCCCCCCCCTCCTTGACGAGGTGGATAAAATGCGAAAACAAATCAAGACTATTTAGTAGGGGATGGTGTGGGAAGGGTCGCATCATATTTTAACATGTGCACATTTATATTATTTCTTGTCTGTATGTTTTCTCTGTCTCTCTCTCTTTCTCTCTCTCTATCTCTCTCTGTCTATCTTTTTTCTATCTCCTCCTTTCTCCCTACCTCTCTTACTCATTATCTCTTATTTTGCTTTCACATGTACAACCATTCAATGGAGGGACACAATCCCCAGTCCATCTTTAATCTTGCTTATTACATGCCTATATCCGGAATCACGTCCATAGATAGTTCTTTAAGGCCAATGAAACTCGATTTTGTCAGCTCATAATGAGGCAACTATTTCATTATTCATTTTTTAACATTTGCAAGATTTATTTATGTTATCCTTTGTAAGAACACCTGATTCACTTTTGTCAGTTCAACTTGTGTATTTCCAGTTTGTTAACTGTAATGCATGTATAAACATCTCAGTGACACACATTTCTAGTATATCTTGGTTATTTTATTAATAAAGACATCAAATATTGTAAAAATAAACCACACATATGCACATGCTATAGTTCCAAATAGAACAGTACTTTAATAGTAACAAGTGTGACAAAACCTTTTACCATAATTCACAACACTTTAAGTACTACTAGCTCAAAGATATAGGCCTACATGATGCACAGCATACATGTACACATGACTTACTTAAAATTTTGGGAATTTTAGAAAATTTGGTGGATAGTGATTCTTTACAATTTTGATATAATTCGTCACTGTTTTCACGAAGTGACGGTAGTGAAAAAAAATTGCATTCACTTTGCATTACGATTTTCCTCGCTACCGTCACTTCGTGAAAACAAGGACGAATTGGATGCCCCTGTGGATGTTATATAAGCACTAGAAATTTTAGCCCTTAAAACACTTCTGTTTTCGAGAAAAATTGAATATAAAAATGTACCGGTGCTCCCGGTAAATTTTGATGAATTTCAAATAACTTCAATTCAATTCAATTCAAATCAATTTCGGTATTTTTTTTTTTTTTTTAAGAATAGGGCAAAAGTCCGGAGACTATAATATTGTCATATTTACAGTAAAGATGGCATACTAAGAAAATATATACAGATTTCGTGATGTTGTACAATTTTGGTTACAGACCGATCATCGTTATTTAGTTTACGTAATTCAGATTGTATAACATACAAAATATGAGATAGTTTGAACTTAATTTATTGTGTTCGCTACCTAAAATATCTAACATGAAGTGAACTTAATTTTTGCGTTGATCATGGCACTCGATGGGCCCAACACTCTTGCAAGTAAATGTTAAAGTAATGTTGCAAGAGTGATTTATACATTAATGTTTGTTTGTTTCGTAAATAATTATTTATTCGTGTTTTTTATCATTATTATTCATCTCTTTATTTGCCAGGGATGTCTCTTTCAGACTTGTACCCCCTTTTAGAAAACCCTGGATCCGCCACTGATGTTTAAATGTCTACATAAACGGTGACGACCTGGCCTGGGCTGGATTTAAAGGTCCTCTTTAGCACTGGAGTGGACGCCCTCTGAAGGCTAAGCAATCACGCGAATGAAATCATCAAATCCGACCCTGAAAGAAAGAAAAAAAATCCAAAAGGACTTTAGATCAGACTTTAATTGACACTATTGTAGGACATGTACTCAATCAACATTTGCTACACGATCAAGTTTGTAAAGTTTGTGTTAAAATTCCTTACTTCAACTGTCCACCTAACAGCACATCCCTGGATGCTCATCTGACCGTAGTGAAATATCTAAAAACTCTCGGAGCTTCTGGGGGCTCCGCCTCCTGGATGTTCATATAACCGTAATTAAACACCTTAAACCCATGAGCTTCCGGGGACTCTGCCCCTTAGACTCCCCGCCAATTAGTGACCTGCCAGTGTCACAAATAAGGTATCTAAATATGCTTAATGCCTAAAAACCCTGAGCTTCCAAGGCTCAGGCCCTGGACCCCACGCCAACTTTACGCTCTACCTGGTCGTTAATACTACACTTTGAAAAACTTTCCGCGGGGCCTGCATGTAACGTGTAAGAGTGGTGGTGATGCAGATTTTTCTTTCCCCCCCCCCTTCCAAATCCCAAAATGCTTCCTGCGCGCCTGCAACTCAACACATTCAACAATTAATGAGAAATCATTGAAAGGAAGAGCGAAAATTTGCTGAGATACCATTTTCTGATGTAGGAATTCTATACCCTGATATTTCATGCGCACCTTAATCTCACTACCTGGTCAACAGTTGCGGATTAGCGCGTAACTTTTCGGCGGCTTGGATCATGGGAGTCAAAGGAGAGCGGCTTGATTCCACTCCTTCTCTATCACCTCCATGTTTAGACCAAGGAAATTACCTTGTTATAATCAGGAATCTTGTTATATCAGGGTAAAAACGCCAAAAGAATATAAAGAGCTGTGACCAGCAGAATCAGCTTGTTATAACAGATACCTCGTTATATCAGATCTCCTTATACTGAGGTTTCACATTATTATAAACTATCAAAATGTATGTGAAGCCATTTTCATTTTGTTCATATTTTACTTGTCTATGTCTCTTGTATAAAACTATTAAACAAAAATTCAAACTAACTGGGTGTCTCCCCAACTGTTATCGCAGTCGGTCTCGCTGACCAAGAGCCACGTGGTCTTCAGGGTCTCCCGACCGTCGCACGTGAGGAGAACTCCCGCCCAGGCCGTGGTCGAAGTGCCGCCGTTCCACAGGACTGAGAAGGAGACGGACGTGTGGCTTCCATCCGGCGATGTCCAGCCAGTGAGAGGGAAAGGTGTAGGTGCTGTAGGAAAGGTAATTAGTCAGAACTTGTTGATTATAGGTAAGTACATGTCACCATTCTAGCACGATCGTCAAAAGCAAAGTATAAATCAAAAACTGTGGTGTAACATGCCTCGATCTACCAGCCAATAGGGAAAATTAGAACAAGATAAACATGTATAATAGAATTGTGAGAGAATGGAGAAAAAAAGGGTAAGTCCATGGAAGTGGGATGAGAAGTTGATCGACGCGCCCTTCCAGACCCTCATTCACTCATTAACCCCACTCATGTTCTCCCGTTTCTTTTGTAGGCGCCGACACTCTGGTACAGAATTTTGTCTCACATCTGGAAGAGCCGGGGCCTTTCTTTCAGTCTGAAGGTTCGTCTGCTTCAAGCAACTTCTTTCTCTATTGCAACTTTAATACGGAAGTGAGTCCTGGGCCATGATAAAGAATGACAGAAGGAGAGTTGATGCCTTTAAAATGTGGTGCTACAGGAAGCTGTTGCAGATGTCATGGAAAGATAAAAAAGACAAATGTGTGGGTCCTGGAAACGATTAGAACAGACTTGACCATAAGAAGGGGAATCATGGGAAGAAAACTAAACTATTTTGGGCACATTATTAGGAGATCTGAAGGTGTTGAGAAGCAAATACTGCGAGGAGCAGTCGAAGGAAAACGGGTAGAGGTCGTCCACCAATATCTTGGACTGATGATATCAAGAAAATGTCTAGACAAGGAATGAAAGGTGCAACACAAATGGCAGGTGAGAGAGTTGCATGGCGTGCTCTCGTGAAGACCACAGCAGCGCTCTACAGCGCCACCTGAGGTTGATGATGATGACACTCTTCTTACCTTACCCTCTCATTCTTTGATAACCTAACACTTCCCATCCTCAATCGACGTTTTCATCTTGGAAAGAGAGAGAGAGAGAGAGAGAGGGGGGGGGGGGGGAGAGATGTGAAGTGAAGGATGTGATAAAACGCATTGACCACGGAGATCCGCAAGTGGTCATCATGTCTTTCATCCGGAAAGAGGAGTTGTTGTTAATTACCGGCAATGTAAAAGTGAAGTGTGAAAAAGTATATTGCTTGTTTTGCTGAGGAATGTAATATTTTAATACAACTGAACTTCAAAAGCCTGTGAGGGGGTAGTTACTTCCGTCACCTTCGCCCCGCCCCTCCCCCCCCCCCCCCGTCATGAAAGAAATCGCCGCCCCTGCTCATCTGAGACGTTCACATGATCGTATCTTTCTGCTGTATAGATCGTTCGTTGGTAGCTAAAAGAGCATTAACTCCGTGTTGAATAAACCCTGTGGCTCTCTTTATACGACTTAAATCATTATGAAAAATTGTATACACTCACGTGCATCCCCGACTGCCGTCGTGTATGTCCCAGTCATAAGACCTGTATCTTTATCCACGACAAAGGAGACTGTTGAACCCAGTTCGTTGGTCCAGGCACCTTCCACACTGCATTCTATATGGAAGGATAGGGTTTAACATGGGCATATATGTATTTTGTATTTTGGGGGTACATTTATTTCCTTCTCAACGATACAATATGAAACACAATGTATATATAAATTATACAGTGCGTCCCAGAAAAAACGAAACCGAGAATTATCTATGATTTAACATAACCTAATCACAATTATAATTGATAAATGGCACATATTTGGAAAGCTTAGATCCTCTTCTTTCATTTGATGCAACTCATATAATGCATATTTCACGCATGAGTGATTAAAATGAATTTAAAGAGAGGAAACCAAAAAGTCATTTGGCGGACGGTATCTGAATTTTAAAGAGAACATCACATTTCTAGAAAGTTGAATTTCTGCCCTTTCATATGACACCTCAATCACGAAAAATGAGCTGGGAATAACAAAGTTCTGTATGTTTAAAGTAGTGCTTGTATTTTCATAATTTGATTAAACGAATTCGTTTTCACTGGCTCCCTGCCGTACCAACAAACGGAATTAATAAAAGACTTAACTCCGTTTCGTTGACAATCAGCCGTTTATAAAGGATATCAAAATTGGGCAAGGGGTTTTAAAATATGATTTTAAAAAAAGAAAAAAAATGGTGGGAGGGGAGGGGGTCTGAAACAAAGTTGGAAAAGTCGAAACTGCTCAACTAACCTGAGCCGGCTAATAACAACACAAGCAAACTGGAATGAAGTAAATGATGTAAATTAAATAGCACCAAATCACATAGGTATTGTATTTACCTGCGACTCGTTCATACTTGGTCGTACGTTGCTTGTTAGTCTGCAAACAAAATAAGAGATGAATAACCAATTTATCGGCGGGACTTAAAACTGTACATGTATATTTATGATCGACCCTATATAATATTCGAAGACAACCTTGAAATGATCGATGAAGCTGGAACAGATTTTATCATTCTTGGCGATATGAACTATGATATAAAGAGGAACAACTGCCAGTGGCAAGCAAAGCTGCTCTCTGAGATATTTCATAATAATAGATTTGATCAACTTATAATGGAAGCAACTCGTGTAACAAATAACTCTAGTTCATTGATTGATTTGATTGTGACGAACAATACCCAGCAAATTCAGTCAAGTGGAGTATTGTATAAAACTCTGAGTGCATGATGAGGAGGCGCTCAGTGGGTCTGAGAGCATCTCGTAATCCGGTGACCCGGGTTCGAAACCAAGTCGATGCGCTAGTGCCCTTTGGTAAGGCCATAGACCTACCAGGTCACTCGGAATGACCTAAAGCCGTCGGGTTTCTGGTTACTTACTAACAAGCATGTAATATGACAGTAATATGATACACTCTTTTGAGTCATACTGATTCTTTGTAAGCAATACGTATGTCCATCATAATAGTCAGGTGGCTTAGCGTCAAATTTGTCGATTATCGTTACTTGCCGGATAAAAGCACCATTTTTGGTAGAGGGCTCCCTTAGGACCTACTAAACGATATTATGATAGGAGCCCCCGGCAAAAATTTCAATTTAAGGGTGTGGGGGCGGGGGCGTTTTTTAGAGCCCCCAAATAATTTTATAACATTGATTTGTAGATGTACAAATGCCATTTTTGGTACAGGTCTTCCCTAGGACCTACTGAACGATATTAGGGTGCGAGCACCCAGCAAAAATATCATATAAGGGTGTGGGGCGGGGGCGTGGCCTCGTAGCCCCAAAATAATTTAGAAGGTAATATAACATGTATTTCTTGTTGTACAAATGCAATTTTTGGTTAAGAGCTTCCTTAGGACATACTAAACGATATAAGGGTAGGAGCCCCCGGCAAGAATATCATATATGGGTGTGGGGCGGGGGCATCGCTTCGTAGCCCCCAAATAATTTAGAAGGTAATATAACATTTATTTGCTGTTGTTACAATTGCCACTTTTGGTACAGGGCTTCCTTAGGACCTACTGAACGATATCAGGGTAGGAGCCCCCGGCAAGAATATCATATAAGGGCGTGGGGCAGGTGCGTCGCCTCGTAGTCCACATATAATGTGTAAGGTAATATAACATTGATTTGTTGTTGTACAAACGACATGGGCCCCCAATCACCCGTATATGAATATGTATGCCGGGGGCTCCTACCTTACCATCATTCAGCAGGTCCGAATGAAGCCCTGTACCAAAAATGGCGTTTGTACAACAACAAATCAATGTTTTATTACATTACAAATTATTTGTGGACTACGAGGCGACGCACCTGTCCCACACCTTATATGATATTCTTGCCGGGGGCTCCTACCCTGATATCGTTCAGTAGGTCCTAAAGAAGCCCTGTACCAAAAATGACATTTGTACAACAACACATAAATGTTATATTACCTTCTAAATTATTTGGGGGCTACGAAGCGACGCCCCCGCCCTACACCCTAATATGATATTCCTGCCGGGGGCTCCTACCCTAAAATCATTCAGTAGGTCCTAAGTAAGCCCTGTACCAAAAATGGCATATGTACAACAACATATAAATGTTATATTACCTTCTAAATTATTTGGGGGCTACGAGGCAACACCCCCGCCCACGCCGTTATATGATATTTTTGTCGGGGGCTCCTACCCTAATATCGTTCAGTAGGTCCTAAGGATGCCCTGTACCAAAAATGGCATTTGTACAATAACAAATCGATGTTATATAATTATTGGGGGCTCCAAAAAACGCCCCCGCCCCCACACCCTTAAATTGAAATTTTTGCCGGGGGCTCCTATCCTAATATCGTTTAGTAGGTCCTAAGGGAGCCCTGTACCAAAAATGGTGCTTTTATCCGGCAAGTAACGATAATTTCACTAAGCCACCTGACTATGAGCGCATGCATACAAAATGCACCGCCGTTCCACACATCGCCCCATATACTTATTTTCACGTAGGCCTAAGTGAAACAAAGGAGTGAAGTATGTGATGCAAAACTAAAACGACCAAATCATGTCTAAAAAACATACATCTAGACTAAATATCTTAAGTGGAGGGTCTCATTTCACACCAAATGTTGATTTAATAAGGTTTTTTTTATTTTTTTTTTTTTTCTTTTTTTTTTATAATTTTGTACATCTGCTTGATATTAAGTTAAGAATAAGAACGAAGTTTTACTTTTAACGAAAGTTAGAGTTAGATTAGAGTTTAGACCCTACTTGTGTTTAAGTTTTAGTTTTACTTGTACTTTTAGTATTAGTAGTTTAGCTATAATTATACATTTTATTTAGAGTCTATAACTCTAAATCATCGTTTCATAATTATCAATTTATGTCAGCCACTCAGTCATTAATCTAGAGGTGAGTAGATCAGGATCTATACAAAACTGAGTCACTGTGACTTTACTTGTAAAGGTGTGCTTGGGGTGTAAGCAGCTTCAGGGCTCCAAGCCCAAGGCCAACATGGCCAAGGGCAAGGGGAGTTATGAAAATTATCATCATACTGAGCTGAGATGACATGGGATGACCCTCCTGTTTAGGGAATTCACTGAGTTGCCTTTCAAGCAAAAATGGACATATGAAAATATTTAGGGTACGCATATGCATATGGATTGTTCCCTCCTTTTGAAACCACCCCCCCCCCCCCCCCCTAAGTACGCTTTGTAAAGCGGGCTTTTGTGTACTACGAGCCGGACTTTGGTGATTGAAAAGTACCCCTTTACCGGACATTTTGGTAACACGCATGGTATCCCTCCGATCACGGAGTGGGGGGCCGGGATGGGTAAACAATGCACACACGTTTAGCTTATTTTCTTCCATTGTCTGTACTCAAGGTGTGTTTTAAAGGCAGCACTTTATAGTATCCTTGGTCCCTAGCTCACCCTATAAAATATTTCTTTTTAACAATTGTTCTTGATACCAGCAAATGTTGCCCAACTCCCATGGGTGTCGATCCTTACGTAATACCTATTCATCAGGGGGGGGGGGATCAATGAATAGATCATCCCCCCCTGATGAATAGGTATCAGTTACAGATCGACACCCATGCCAACTCCACTCCGTGTTTTAAAGAATTTGCCAAGCAAGTACCATACCAGATGATGTACATGTCACAACATTGCACAGGAGAATCTACAGGAACTTCAGTGGTAATGATTATGATGATGTTTTTGCTTTCACTTAGTTTCAGATGCAGTAGATACAATTTGCGCTTATATTAAGGAAGCACTAGGACTGGTACATCTACTTTTCAACAATGCCGCAGGCCAGATACAAATTCAAGTGAAAATAGTTGTTATGGTCTGTGAAAGAAAATCACACATTAGCAGCATATAGAGAGTTATGATTAATCATGACCGGTCTGTATAATGCCATCCATTGATTTGCGCTCACTACTGAACTTGCGATCGATACAAATCTTTGAAATACACTGATATTATATATGATGGCTACATAAGCAATTAAATAGTAACAGGGAAATATAGATATGGAATATGTAATGCACTTAGCAGACATAGAACAAAGCTGGACAGTAACGTGTTTCTAATTTTGGCGAAGGCTATATTATGACCATCAATGGTCATGTACATACAGTGCGTCCCAGAAAAAACGAAACCGAGAATTATTGATGTTTTATCATAACTTAATCACAATTATAATTGATAAATGACACATATTTGGAAAGCTTAGATCCCCCTCTTTCATTTGATGCAACTGATATAATGCATATTTCACGCATGAGTGATTAAAATCAATTTGAAGAGAGGAAAACAAAAAGTAATTTGGCGGACGATATCTGAATTTCAAAGAGAAAATTACATTTCTAGAAAATTGAGTCTCTGCCCTTTCATAATTTATGACACCTTAATCAGGAAAAATGAGCTAGGAATAACAAAGTTCTGTTTGTTCAAAGAAGTGTTTGCATTTCCATAATTTGATTAAACGAATTCGTTTTCACTGGCTGCCTGTCGTATCAACAAACGAAATTAACAAAAGACTTAACTCCGTTTCGTTGACAATCAGCCGTAGTTATTCTCATCATAATTGTATTTGGTATTTCAAACTATCCTATAATCATACATGTTGCTGTTTTTAATTTATCTGTATGATGAGAAATGAAATTGTTTAGTCAAAATGATATTTCCATGTTTATCATGCATTTTTCAGCTGATAATTGTTTAGTCAAAGATTACGTGTTCGCCTGGGTGAAGATAACCTTTTAGCATTGGAAAACTTTGTAGCGTTTGAGACTGTGTACTAAATTTTATTGAAATACCCTACAAAGAGATTGTGTAAACTGACTTGCTTCTGATACTCTACTCACAAAACATTTATGAAAAACAGTGATGAAAAAAAAAGTAACATTGATGATTATATTAGTCATATTTCCTATTGAAAAACTCCAGCATCTTTTTTTCAAGAACTGCCTTGTTTCGTTACGATCAACATATAAATCTTTCAGCTAGAACATGATAACCACGGCGTGCAAGAAAGAGACTATACCACACAGTACTGTTTTGAATACCTCTTTTGTCTTCAGGTAAACAATCTATGCAGATGATGAGGATGATGATGCAAAAGATAAAGACATTTTAGCATATTTACAAGTACTGTACAATGTTTGAAATAACCTTCGTATTCCGTGGATGTATACCTGATGAGTCTTTTCCACAAAACCCTAAATGTACGTTTTAAAATGCAATACAGTATTGATGATAATTGATGATGATATGTTTGGTGTGAATTATTTGATATTTTAAATGCATGTTTACCTCTTTTTTGTTTATTTTTGTAAAGAACTTATTGGCATGCACCCAGTAGATTTTCATCATGTGTTTGATCTTGTTATTGAAAACAAGATCAAACACGTCATCATAATTTACAGAGTGCAACCAAAACATTCTTATCAACGATTGAATTTTTTTCAGGAAAACTAACAATAAAAGCTGTTTTTGATTCAAAGAGCATCGCAGAGACGACGAAAAAATAAGAATAGTAATACAACGTGAGACCGTTCACTTCTATCTCTTCCCGCCAAATAATCCGATCAAAAGAATCACCCGAGGGTAATCAACTGTTAAACGAATGTATCATGAGTCCTTGACAAATTAATTTATACTGCTTGCCAAGTATTATTGAAGCACAGCAAAGGCGAACGATTGTCGCTACAATTCAGAAATCGTTGATTCGATTGCTTTTCTGTCAAAATTACCATGAGATATCAGGCTACATAGAACTATGATCGACAAAAAAGATATTGTCTTGAAAGAAACATTGGAACTTGAATACATAAATATAATGGCAATGGGTGAGACTAGAATGAATAGGACACGAGTTCATTTTTACCATTTAAATCATCCAGTACCAAATTCGAGCCAGATGCATATAATGGTAAGCTTAAAGACAATGATTCATGACAAATTGTCAATTGTCCTTCCTTTGAGTTTATCGTCTAGACATATTGCAAAAGATAATCAGGATAATAAGGATCAGAATGATACCTCTACTACTTGGCCTACTTTTACATGTATTATACTACACTACTGCCATTGCTGAGTATCGTGAAATTGTTTCATCCAATAAAAATCCCAAAATGTCGTGAGAAATTTGTTTTTGTTTGTATTTTTGGGTGGGATATCTAGCCCTCGTAGCAACAAGCGGGCAGGATATAATGATAAATACAAACAAACGCAGGAAAAATACGAAATATAAATACAAATGCGCATGGAGTTTTAGAAAAAGTTAAACATTAATTAATTCGAGACATGATAAATTCAGATATAAATATAAAGAATCAATGACTTTAAATAGCCAAACCAAAATAATAAAATTACAATAAAAGGAACAAAACAAACGAGGAGTAAGGCTGGCGTGAATTGTAACGTAACAAAGTAGATAATTACAGAACAAAGACATCATTAAATATGAAATATCCCCCCCCCCCCCAGCCCCCGCCCAAAGAAACAACATAGCAGCTGAGAAATATGGCGGTCAGAGAAGCTGGCAGCTTTGATGTAACTTCTACACACTCTCATGTCAAGAATATATATGTATTATTAACTCCGTAACGTATTATTTGTAAACAATGACACAACTATTTCCTGTTACCTGCCCCGAAAAATAGCAAAAAGAATATCCTGTTTACACCGAGTTACTAGTAAGTCGATGCAAAGCTTTATACATATACATTGTAGCTCTGTTGTTATTAAGTTCTCATCTATTTCTTAAATTATAGTAAGGCAATATTTACAAATTCAAGTACCATTACTTTCTTGTCAAGTAAATGTTATCTCAGCTATTCGTTAACCTGTACTCTACCGGGGTTAACGTATGCCGAAATAACTTCACGTACAATGCAATATGGGTGATTATGTGCATGGATAATTATCTAGAATAATATTGCTATGCAATATATCGACGTCGTAATCAAAACAAGGAGTAAAATCGACCTTAACACCAAATATGGAACGAGAGGATAGTAATAATAAAACATTGCGAAGGATATAATCACTTACCATATTCATCTCGAAATGATGAGTATAAAATTGTTGACAGAAGCTTGTATGTGCGAAAAAAAAAGACTTATAAAATTGCTTCTCTGAAACTCTGCTTTCAAACACTGAGCTCCTGCTGAAATCAACTTATAAACTCTTGCTCTAAAATAAACAGGTTAATCTAATTAAAAGGAGACGAAATGAAATCATGTCTAAACTGGACCAGATCCTGAGTTGCACTGATTTTGATTAAGAGGAAGTCAATTTCAACGGATAACAACATGACGTCATAAATAAAGAACCAATCAGAAACATAGAAATGGAATAGGACAACAGAATGGAAAAACCCAGGGAGAAGGAAGAACCAATAGACAGTATGGAAGGTTGTTCTGCGCCCTGTTTCATAAAACTTGATATCAATAACAAGTTACAAGCTACTGTAATTATAAGCTACTGAAATCAAGGTATCTGATTGGCTGAGAGCAGAATTATCATACGTAGAAATTAAGCATTTGTTATAAAAAGTTTTATGAAACGGGCCCCTGGTGTTCTGAATAGGGACTTTTAGATGTGCACGTCGACATAGTGTCGATGTGCACATCTAAAAATCCCTATTATAAATGAGAACTAAACAATAGAACCTTGTGAAGTGGAAATGGAATGAAAATGGTAGCACGAGGGGTGAAATGGAATGAAAGAAACAAGGTGTGGCAATGGCAATGAGATCGATGTGTGAAGGTGGAGCGAGGAACGGAGCACTGCTGCTCAAAGTTAGCTCATAATTAAAACAAAAACAAGAAATAGCTGCAATGTTTGGATTCAAAAGTTCATTCAAAATGTTAATATAGTTTCATATACAGATTTACGTATAATGTGCAAGTGACTTTCGGTAACTTGGGCCAATTTCTGAGTATATTTAAGTTTGTAAAGACTCGCAGTAGACAAACATGTCTATGTGATACATAATCAATATTTTCAAGTCGCTTCCAGATAATGTTTGTGTGGATGACAATGCAATTGCATTTATACTTCTTTATATTAAATGATTGTGAGAATATGATTTATTTTGTATAGATAAAGTTCATATCTTGTCAGAATTTCATTATTTAAAGTAAAGATTCAGAGAAATTGATGACTAAAGTTCTGAGAAGGTATACAATTTATGTATAAAGTACAACCCAGATTTGTCACAAGCATTTCATGAAAAGAGGCAATACAATATCATTCCAACTAAATGGCACTTTATACGGGTATGCACCCGGATACAGTGACTTTCGTCATAATCACTAACATTTTAAAAACCTCATGTTTACCTCCTCCTCCTTATTCCATATTCATTGAAAAGTGATAAAGCCATTCAGTTAGTCCAGGAATTTTTTTTTTTTTTTTTATCTTGATACAAATGCATCATTCAAATAAAGCATAGTTTCGCACCCCAGAAAGCAATGGTAAGTTTCACTCTTCAAGGGCCTTTGTGTTGATCTTATCATGTTTGCTTTGCATGCTCTATCAGTCGGTTATTGTATGGACTTCAACATTATTGTTTGTGAACAAATAAAGCTCCATGTAGCCCTGTGCACATTAAAGTGACTCGGTAACATTGCCTCAGATTCTGAAACTAAATCCTGGAGTTAGCTCATGCTGCAGTCATAATTATTAACATTTAGGTCAGTCAGGAATCCCATGACTTTTACAGCCGATCGCCCGTTTGATTATCAAGATATTTATGATTTGAAATCGAAATTTCATTTTAGTTTTCCTAACGGTTTTAATAACACTACCGTGTGAGTCAAAAAAAAGTTTACACCTAGAAAATGGCTAATTATTTTAAAAATCATCTATGAACAGTACATTATTATACATCTGATGAAAGAGTGTTTTATCCCAAATCATTTGGTACCATTTTTGTGTGGTATGTGTTCACGCTTGGATGAACAGGTGGCATTGTTTGCGAGAGTGCAAAAATCGACTTGCGCCAAAGTGATGCCTTCAGTATGTATTATGTTGGGATTAGCGGAGTGAGAGAATGGATTGAATGTATCAAATGAAATGTATTGCATATGTTTTTTGCAAAGGGCAAAGTCACACACACCCACACACACGCGCACAAATGTTCGTTGATATTTGATATTCGATATTTGATATGTGTGACATTATTAATTTTGTTAGGGGTGTTATTTGGATATGCAAAGACCGAATTAATACCCAAATCCCAATTGTTTTTATTCAAACATCACATAGGCAACTTTGGCGCAATTCGATTTTTGCACTGTCGCAAACAATGTCTCCTGTTCATCCAAGCGTGAACACATACCACACAAAAATGGTACCAAATGATTTGGGATAAAACACTATTTCATAAGACATATAACAGTTTAATGTTCATCGATGATTTTTTTAAATAATTAGCAATTTTCTAGGTGTAAACTTTTTTTGACTCCCTCTGTACAGTCTATTGCGAAAAACATTGTGTACATATGACAAACGACGAGTGCCATAGACCATAATCGATGCAAATTTAATCTACTGTAATGTATTTGGGATATTAGGGTGACGCGAAGCTTTTTATTTCTTAAAAGGGTGCCTTGACAAAAAGAGGGTTGAAACTTGAAAAACACTGATATCGTGGACTTAAAACTGGTGCCCCCCCCCCCCCCCCCTCCGCCAATGACTGAGCCCATGCTAAGCCACTTCGGAGTGGAATAACGCTTAAAGATAAAGACCAGTTATGGTCATGCGATTGCATTGTGAAAGAAACGTTGTGAAATCGATCAGAAAAGGTTGATCATCTAGCATATAAGTATTGAAGTGTACTGCAAGGTTCTGGAATCATCAAAATTATAAGAAATTTGGCCCAGTCTTACGGTAAAGTTACAAGCAGGCTGTACACAGAAAGATGTATATGTGACTACACAAACATGTGCGCGACACGTGCTTTATATATCTATCAGGTCCAAATATATCAATTAGTAGGCGGTTTCTCGGCAAAATTTGTATGATCAAGTATTAGTCAAAACATATTCTTTCACATGATTGGTAATGAGAGCTTCCATTTCATTTTTTGAGAGGGGGGGGGGGGGCGTTTTCAAAACTGATTTTTACTTTAATGTGCACATGGCGACATGGAGCTTTGTTTGTTCACAAACAATTGTTCAAGTCCATGGCAAATACCGACTAAAAGAGCATGCAAAGCAAACGTGATAAGATCAACACAAAACCGGTCCTTTGGAAATTGAAACTTACTAGTGCTTTGCGGGCTGCGTAACTATGTTATATTTAAATGCTGCATTTGTATCGGGATACAACATTAAAAAAAAACAATTTTCCTGGACTAACTGAATGGCTTTAACATTTTTGAATGAATATGGAATATGGAGGATGAAGTAAACATGATTTTTTTTAAATGTTATTGAATATGACGAAAATCACTGTATCCGGGTAGTAATCATTACAATGAGCTGTCTATGAGTAAGTGTACATAACGCTGGGGAAATTAATGATTCAGAAAAATTGATGAATAAGGTTCTGAGAAGGTATAAAATTCATGTATAAAGTATAAACCAGATTGTCGCGAGTATTTCATGATAAGAGGCAATAAAATATTTTTTCCTACTACATGATAACACTGAATATTCGCACTTTATATGGGTATGCACCCGGATACAGTGATTTTCGTCATAGTCAATAACATTTCTTAGAAATCATGTTTAGTTCCTCCTCCATATTCCATATTCATTCAAAAATTTAAAAGCCATTTAGTTAGTCTAGGAAAACTGTTTTTTTAACCCGATGCAAATGCATCATTCAAATAATATAATATAGTTACGCAGCCCATGTGATTATGTCACATTAGTTTCATGTTTTGTACTATAATTATGATATGTTACAATTGCATGAATTCTGTATATAAACACTGTTGTAATTAGCTGTTATTTTATGTTATGAACAAATAAAGTTCCTCGAAAGAGAATAAATAGAAGAAAAAATAGATACGCAGCCCAGAAAGCACTGGTAAGTTTCAATCGCCAAAGGCCCGGTTTTGTGTTGATCTTATCAGGTTTGCTTTGCATGCTCTTTCAGTCGGTTATTGTACGGACTTGAAAAATTATTGTTTGTGAACAAATAAAGCTCCACGTAGCCCTGTGTACATTAACGTGACTCGGTAACATTGCCTCAGATGCTGAAACTAAATCCTGGAGTTAGCTCATGCTGCAAAAGACAGCGAAATCCTTTTTGACATTCTTCTCAACATATGAATTCCTGTAAATCTCTTTATTGTATTGTAGTCTGCCAATGACATTGTATAGCGGGAGGGTGATCAAATTAACTTAAGATTGTGCTTAAAGTAGATAATAATAATGATAGCTTACATTCATAATGCGCCTAATACTCCCCCCCCCCCCCCACTCAGTGTTATTCAGGGTACGCATATGCGTGTTCCCAGCTACCACCCCCCCCCCCCCCCCCCTTTTCAGCAAAAGTCCGGTGTGTAAAGTCAATACGGGTAGACCTTTTTCTTTTAAAACGAGCCAGAGAGAGTTTGGGAACACGCATGGTATCCTTCCGTTCACGGAATGGGGTCGCGCGGGGGGGGGGGGGGTGGGGCGGGCTAATACTTTGTTTCTAGATGCAGCACATATTATTGACCCGGTCATCGGATTCAGGCTTACCCGCAACACAATGTATGAGCATTCCAGCCAGTCACCATTTTGCAAGCGCCACTTGCTAAACTAACCACATTAACTTTCGCATCCTACCGGGTACCCATTTAATACCTGGGTGGAGAGTGGCAAATGTAGATCAATGTCTTGCCAAAGGACACTATTGCCGCGGTGGGACTTGAACCTAGGACCTTGTGATCCACAGTGACATATCCACTCGATCACGACACCTCTACAGATCATTGGAATAGGCCACTTTCGTAATGTAACCAAATTTAATGCAAAAGTCTTTGTAAAGTGCCTCAATACAAATTATTTTATTCACCTGATAATAATAATAGTATTTCAATAGACAGAATCCGAACTGCATACATTAGTTGTTGCCAGGTTGGACAAACGTTATGGCTTGACCTACCTAGCAACACTTAATATATGCAGTTGCATTATGACTATTGAAATACTATTATTCTTATCAGGTGAATAAAATAATTTGTATTGAGGCACTTCACAAAGACGTATGCATTAAATTTGGTTACATTACGAAACTGGCCTATTAACGACGTGGTCTTATTTACAATGTTGACGT